GTGATCCGCCCGCCTCAGCCTCCCAAAGTGCTGGGATTACAAGTGTGAGCCACTGCGCCCGGCCTATTTATTTATTTTTAAGACAGAGTTTCACTCTTGTCGCCCAGGCTGGAGTGCAGTGGCATGATCTTGGCTCATTGCAACCTCCGCCACCCGGCTTCAAGCGATTTTCCGGCCTCAGCCTCCTGAGTAGCTGGAATGACAGGCACGTGCCACCACGCCCGGCTAATTCTGTATTTTTAGTACTAAAAATTTTTAGTACTGTGCCCGGCCGAAGCTGAACTTTTGTCTGCACTGGTCAGTGGGACACAATGGGAGTTAGGCAAAGTGTAATTGCACCTTCCCCACTTCCCCCCAGGCCGCTGGACTTTGCCCCACTCTGTCTGAGCCGCCCCTCCTGAGAGAAAGGGTAGAAAAGCGTTTGGAGGCCGGGCGCGGTGGCTCACGCCTGTCATCCCAGCACTTTGGGAGGCTGAGGTGGGCGGATCACGAGGTCAGGAGATGGAGACCATCCTGGCTAACACGGTGAAACCGTGCCTCTACTAAAAATATAAAAGTATTAGCCAGGCGAGGTAGCAGGCACCTGCAGTCCCAGCTACTGGGGAGGCTGAGGCAGGAGAATGGCGTGAACCCGGGAGGCGGAGCTTGCAGTGAGCCGAGATCGCCGCTGCACTCCAGCCTGGGAGACAGAGCGAGACTCCATCTAAAAAAAAAAGGAAAAAGAAAAGCATTTGGACAGGTTTGCACACGTCTGGGTAGAAGCACCTTCCCATTGCAAAGCTTCCTTCGCCCCCTGGTGATGGTGAACCTTTAGTTTTTTATTTTATTTTATTTATTTTTTGAGACTGAGTCTCTGTCTGTCACCCAGGCTGGAGTGCAGTGGTGTGATCTCGGCTCACTGCAACCTCCGCCTCCCGGGTTCAAGCGATTCTCCTGCCTCAGCCTTCTGAGTAGCTGGAATTACAGACGCCTGCCACCACGCTCAGTTTTTTTATTTTATTTTATTTTATTTTATTTTATTTTATTTTATTTTTTTAGACGGATTTTCATTCTGTCACCCAGGTTGGAGTTCAGTGACCTGATCTCGGCTCACTGCAACCTCCGCGTCCTGGGTTCAAGCAATTCTGTCAAACTGCCGGGATTATAGGCATGAGCCACCGTGCCCAACCTTTTTATTTTATTTTATTTTATTTATTTGAGATGGACTCTCTCTCTGTCACCCAGGCTAGAGTGCAATGGCGTGATCTTGGCTCACCGCAACCTCCGCCTCCCGGGTTCAAGCGATTCTCCTGCCTCAGCCTCCCGAGTAGCTGGGATTACAGGTGCCCGTCACCACGCCCAGCTAATTTTTGTATTTTTAGTAGAGATGAGGTTTCACCATCTTGCCCAGGCTGGTCTCGAACTCCTGACCTCATGATCCACCTGCCTTGGCCTCCCAAAGTTCTGGAATTACAGCCATTCTTTACGCCTTTACTCTTTTTTTTTTTTTTTGAGACAGAGTCTCACTCTGTCACCAGGCTGGAGTGCAGTGGCACCATCTCGGCTCACTGCAACCTCCGCCTCCTGGGTTCACGCCATTCTCCTGCCTCAGTCTCCCAAGTAGCTGGGATTACCAGTGTGAGCCACTACGCCCAGATAATTTTTGTATTTTTAGTAGAGACAGGGTTTCACCATGTTGCTCAGGCTGGTCTCGATCTCCTGACCTCGTGATCCGCCTGCGTCGCCCTCATAAAGTGCTGGGATTACAGGCGTGAGCCACTGTGCCCGGCCGGAAGATTTCTTTCTGTCTTGCAATCCCTTTATTAGATTACCTGACGTGTTCATCCCATTCAGGCTTCATGCCGCTTCAGTAATAAAATAACTACCTTTTTGTTTGTTTGTTCAAGATGGAATTTTTGCTCTTGTTGCCCAGGCTGGAGTGCAGTGGCGTGATCTCGGCTCACTGCAACCTCTGCCTCCTGGATTCAAGCGATTCTCCTGCCTCAGCCTCCCGAGTAGCTGGGTTAACGGGCATGAGCCACCACGCCCGGCTAATTTTTGTATTTTTAGTAGAGACGGGGTTTCACCATGTTGGCCAGGCTGGCCTCGAACTCCTGACCTCAGGGGATCCGCCCGCCTCCGCCTCCCAAAGTGCTGGGATGAGAGACATGAGCCACCGCGCCCGGCTAATGCCGGCTTCTTCGCGGCCATAAAACTTCCCCGGAGAGAGAATTTACAACACTCCTTATTTCTCAGAGGTTTCTGCTTTTCGTCAGAAAAAGGAAGCTTCAAGAAGCTTCTTTCCAAATCCGTTGATTCTCAAATGCCTCAGTTCAAAAGAATTTATGTGCCAATGTGGTTTTTTTTGTTTTTTGTTTTTTGTTTTTTCTGAGATGGAGTGTCAGTCTGTCGCCCAGGCTGGAGTGCAGTGGCATGGTCTCAGCTCACGGCAACCTCTGCCTCCAGGGTTCAAGCAATTCCCTTGCCTCAGCCTTCCAAATAGCTGGGACTACAGGCGCCCACTATCAGGCCCAGCTAATTTTTTTTTTTTTTTTTTTTTTTGTATTTTAGTAGAGACGGGGTTTCGGTATGTTGGCCAGGCTGGTCTTGATCTCCTGAACTTGTGATCCGCTCGCCTCGGCCTCCCAAAGTGCTGGGATGACAGGCATGAGCCACCGCACCCAGCTTGTTTTGTCAACCTTATAATGTCTGTTTTGTTTTTGTTTTTGTTTTTTTTGAGACAGGGTCTCGCTCTGTCACGCAGGTTCGAGGACAGTGGCATGATCTCAGCTCACTGCAACCTCCGCCTCCTGGGTTCAAGTGATTCTCCTGCCTCAGCCTCCCGAGTAGCTGGGACGACAGGCACCTGCCACCACATCTGGCTAATATTGTATTTTTAGTAGAGACGGGGTTTCACCACGTTGGTCAGGCTGGTCTCAAACTCCCGACCTCAGGTGATCCGCCCGCCTCGGCCTCCCGAAGTGCTGGGATGACGGGCGTGAGCCGCCGCACCCGGCCCCAATTCCTGTTACTAAGCGTCCCTAGTTACCGGTGGGGACTGGCAGGGACGGCTGCAGACAGGACCATATGTCATCAGCCACTAGAGGGCAGCCATGGCCAAGGACGGCCCAGCAGTTCGCCGGTGGTTGGGCTAATGCTCACAAGGACACCTTGAGAAGTGGGAAGAGCTTTAGAAGCTGTCTGGGCCGGGTGTGGTGGCTCACACTTACAATCCCAGCACTTTGGGAGGCTGAGGCAGCAGGATCCCTCCAGTCCAGAAGTTTCAGGCTAGCCTGGGCAACATAGTGAGACCCCATCCCACCCCCCCAAAAAAAATTAGCTGGATGTGGTAGCGTGTTCCTGTTGCCCCAGCTACTGGGGAGGCTGTGGTGGGAGGACCGCTTGAGTCTGGGAGCTGGAGGTTGCAGTAAAGCTAAGATCACGCTGCTGCACTCCAGTCTGGGCGACAGACTGTAATTCTGCCTTTGAAAAAAAGGAGGAAAAAAAAAAAAAGAGGCTGAGATGGGTGGTTCATGCCTGGAATCCCAGCACTTCGGGAGGTAGAGGATGGAGGATCACTGGAGATCAGGAGTTACAGGCCAGCCTGGGCCACATAGCGAGACCCTGTCTCTAAGAAAAAGGAAGGAGAAGGAAGGAATAAGGAAAGGAAGGAAGGAAGGAAGGAAGGAAGGAAGGAAGGAAGGAAGGAGAGAAAGAAAGAAAAAAGAAGAGAAACAAACCTAAGAGAAGGAAGGAAGGGAAAAAAGAAAGGAAAGAAAGAGGAAGAAGGAAGGAAAAGGAAGAGAAAGGAAAGAAAGAAAGAAGAAAGAGAAAGAAAGAAAAAAGAAAGAAAGAGAAAGGAAAGAAGGAAGGAAGGAAGGAAAGAAAGAAGGAGAGAGAGGAAGGAGGAAGGGAAAGAAAGGAAAGAAAGACAGAAAGAAGGAAAAAGAAAGAAAGAAGGAGGAAGGAAGGAATGAAAGAAGGAGAGAGAGAGGAAGGAAGGAAGGAGAGAAAGAAAGAAAAAAGAGAAACAAACCTAAGAGAAGGAAGGAAGGAAAAAGAGAAAGGAAAGAAAGAGGAAGAAGGAAGGAAGGAAGAAGGAAGGAAAAGGAAGAGAAAGGAAACAAAGAAAGAAGAAAGAAAAAGAAAGAAAAAAGAGAAAGGAAGGAAGGAAGGAGAGAGAGGAAAGAAGAAAGAAGGAGAGAGAGGAAGGAGGAAGGGAAAGAAAGGAAAGAAAGACAGAAGGAAGGAAAGAGAAAGAAAAGAAAGAAACAGGAAGGAAGGAAAGAAAGAAGGAGAGAGAGAGGAAAGAAGGAGAGAGAGGAAGGAAGGAAAGAAAGAAGGAGAGAGAGGAAGGAGGAAGGGAAAGAAAGGAAAGAAAGACAGAAGAAGGAAAGAAAGAAAGAAAGAGAAAGAGGAAGGAAGGAAGAAAGGGGAGGGAAGGAAGGAAGAAGGAGGGAGAGGAAGGAAGGAAGAAAGAGGGGAAGGAAGGGAGGGGAGGAAGGAAAGAAGGAAAGAAGGAGAGAGGAAGGAGGAAGGGAAGAAGGAAGAAAGACAGAAAGAAGGAAGAAAGAAAGAAAGAAGGAAGGAAGGAAGGAAAGAAGGAAGGGAGGAAGGAAGGAAAGAAGGAAGGAAGGAAAGAAAGAGGAAGGAAGGAAGGGAGGAAGGAAAGAAGGAAAGAAGGAGAGAGAGAGGAAGGAGGAAGAAGAAGAAAGACAGAAAGAAGGAAAGAGAAGAAAGAAAGAAAGAGAAAGGAAGGAAGGAAAGAAAGAGAGAGGGAAGGAAGGAAGGAAGGAAGGAAGGAAGGAAGGAAGGAAGGAAGGAAGGAAGGAAGGAGGAAGGAAGGAAGGAAGAAAGAAGGAAAGAAGGAAATCAATCCCAGGACAAAAAAAGTGTTTTGGCCTCACTAGACCCGGAGGTAGCTTTTCCCCAGCAGGAGCCCTTGGGCATGACCAGGAAGCTCTCGTTGTCACCTAACACAGGCCTGTCTGACTGGGGACACCCACGAGAGCTGTGCGGCGATGACCCGAATGGGCCGGATGATCACATTCGATTCAGTTCTGCCCAGTGCGCCTTTTGCAGGTGGGATTTGTGCTACACAACTTCCACTGTGTAGAATTGAAATAACCATAAGAAGCTGCAGATCATGAGATCTCGGACGCCCCAGCCCAGGAGACCGTGGCCCCACACAGGGGAAAGCCGTGGGCAGGTTACACCCATGAAGTCCTTTGCTGGGGAAGGAAGGAAGGAAGGAAGGAAGGAAGGAAGGAAGGAAGGAAGGAAAGAAAAGAAGGAAAGAAAGAAATCAATCCCAGGACAAAAGTGCTTTGGCCTCACTATGGACGGAGAGGTAGCTTTTCCCCAGCAGGGCCCCTTGGGCATGACCAGGAAGCTCTCGTTGTCACCTAACACAGGCCTGTCTGACTGGGGACACCCACGAGAGCTGTGCGGCGATGACCGAATGAGCCGGATGGTCACATTCGATTCCAGTTCTGCCCCCGGAAAGTGTGCCCCCGGGTGGGGTTTGTGCCTCACAACTTCCACTGTGTAGAATTGAAATAACCATATGAAATACCCAGTCCGCAAGGGTCTCGGACGCCCCAGCCAAGACGTGGCCCCACACAGGGAAAGCCGTGAGCAGGTTACACCCATGAAGTCCTTTGCTGTCCTCACCGGGAGGTGCAGACTCTGAGGGCCGCTGAGAGAAAGAAGAGGCAGGAATGTGTCACCTCCCTGTCACAGCCTTGTGTCCAAGAACTGGGTACTCAGCCATCACGGGACGGTTGGGTTTCTCTGCCTCCTCCCTCAGCTCACAACTCAGCCGTGTGTGCCCCAAACTGGCCACCAACACCCGGTCCTGTCTTGTTTTAAAGGTTTTCCAGAGAGGTGTACCTGGCGCCCAGTTCTGAGTTGCAAACAGAACATACTTTGCGCGGCGGCTCACGCCTGTCATCCTGGCACTTTGGGAGGCCGAGACGGGCGATCACGAGGTCAGGAGATCGAGACCGGCCTGGCTAACACCGTGAAACCCCGTCTCTACTAAAAATACAAAAAATTAGCCGGGCGTGGTGGCAGGTGCCTGTAGTCCCAGCTACTCAGGAGGCTGAGGCAGGTGAATCACTTGAAACCGGGAGGCAGAGGTTGCAGTGAGCTGAGATCCCACCACTGTACACCAGCCTGGGCGACAGAGCGAGACTCTGTCTCAAAAAAAAAAGAAAAAAAAAAAAAAGAAACCTCACACAGGTGGTCTCATAGTTGACCTCACACAGGTGACCCTCCACGTAGGTGACCCATCTACATGACCTCACAAGGAAGGCGCCCACTCCTACTTCGGCTGCCCTCCTCCCCCGACCTTGCCTCGTTCACAAGGAAGGCGCCCACTCCTACTTCGGCTGCCCTCCTCCCCCGACCTTGCCTCGTTCACAAGACAGGAGGCAAGAGAGAAAGCGAAAAGTTAGAAAGAAACCAAAGTCAGATAAATAACCAGACAACCTGGGCACCACCACCCGGCGCTAGGAGTTTAAAAAAAAAAAAGTAATAATAATAACATCGACCCCTGAGCTAAACCACTCGTGTTATCTGTACATCCCAGACACTGTATGAAAAAAGCACTGTACCACTTTTTATTCTGTTAGCGGATACACGTAGGCCCCAGTCACGTTTCCCACGCTTGCTGGATTTATCGTGACCCTTTCACGTGGACCCCTTAAAGTGGCAAGCCTTTTAAAAAAGTCAAGAATTTCTTTTTCAGGGAGTTCGGCTCTAAGACGCTCCCGGCCGAATAAAAAAACCTCTTCTTTCTTCATCCAGTGTCTGAGGAGTTTTGTCTATACCTTTTTCGGGGATCACAGTTCAATCTATCCACTTCCCCCCAGACGCTGTTAGGGAGGGTCCTTCCTGCCTCTCCCAGCTCCTGGGGGCTCCAGGTGTCCCTGGGCTTGTGGCCGCCTCACTCCACTCTCTGCCTCTGTCTCCACGTGGCCTCCTCCTCTGTGTCTGCGTCTCCTCTTCTGTCTCTTCGAAGGACACACATCATTGGTTTCAGGCCCCACCCGAATATTCCAGCGTGACCTAATTGTGACCTCCTTCGCTAATGGTACCTACAGAGACGCTTTTTTCCAAATAAGGGCCCATTCACAGCCAGCCTTGGCCTAAACACGCCCCTCTGTGGTGGTGCAATCTCAGCTCCCTGCAGCCTCGGCCTCCCAGACGCAAACAATCCTCCCGTCTCAGCCTCCCGAGTAGCTGAGACCACAGGCACGCACCACCCTGCCCAGCTAATTTTTGTAATTCTTGTAGAGACGGGGTCTCACCGTGTTGCCCAGGCTGGTCTTGAACTCTCAAGGGGAGCAGAAGAGAGGGGGGAGGAGGGGAAGGTAGGGGAGGGGAGGGGAGGAGAGGAGGGGAGGGGAGCAGATAGGAGGGGAGGAGGGGATGGGAGGGGAAGAAAGGAGGGGAGGGGAGTGGAGCAGAAGGGAGAGGGGAGGGGAGCGGAGAGGAGGGGAGGAGGCCAGCGGAGCAGAAGGGAGGGGTAAGAGGGGAGAGGAGGGGATGGGAGGGGAGGGGAGGAAAGGAGGGGAGGGAAGCAGAAGGGAGGGGGAGAGGAGGGAGGACAGGAGGAGGGGAGGGGAGGAGGGGAGGGAAGCAGAAGGGAGGGGGAGAGGAGGGAGGACAGGAGGAGGGGAGGGGAGGAGGGGAGGGAAGCAGAAGGGAGGAGTGAGGGGAGGGGAGGGGGGATAGGAGGAGGGGGAAAAGGGG